GTCCATTATGGAGTCCCTACCCTCCTGTCTTCTGTCAAATTCATTTTATTTAAATGCGTTTCAGAGTCATTTTGTTAGAAAGGAGCAATATCACCTAATGGTACAAGCATCAGATATTTGTGGTAAGCGAACATCAGGAAAAAAATACACTTACTTTGCAAAGTGTATTATTCAAGGTAGAAAGATTATTTATGGTTTCATAAAGAAAAAGATCCGACTCAACGTATTTTTACCTAGTATGTGCCATTTTCTTTGTGGAATAATAAGGGACTGGAGGCCAAAGAATAACTTGCTTTCTTTTGGAAATCTGTTTTATCTGATAGCCATGAATTTTTATGCAGTAACTTATTTATACCCCATGTGTACTCCTAAGATACATGCCATTTAGTTTTGCCTGTTTATGCCTTCTGTGTAAACAGAATTATGTAACATTTATTAGCTTGGGACTCGCTTTTTTAAGCTCAATGTCGTGTCGTTGAGATTTTCAATGTTATTACATGCAGCTGCAATTTGGTCACTTTTTAAATATTATCCATTGTATGAAATTATTCATTTAGTAATAATTTATCCATGCTACTATTGGTGGATATTTGGGTTTTTCCAGTTTTTACTATCATGAACAGTGTTACCTCAAACACTGTACCTGTCGCCAGATGCATGCTTGCAAAATTTCTCCGGGGGACATATTTATCTAGTTACAGTTTGATTCACATATATTTTTGGTTCATAAGTATAAAATCCTTCAGAGTAGGTACTGAAATCTCCTTGTAGATGCCTTGAAAGGTGCAGTAGTTGACTGATTTTTTTCTTACAGATTAAAATGTACAAATCATTTGCAATTATGACCTTTTGAGGAGAAGGCAGATTGAAAGGACAAGAGGTTTCATGATAGTTGAGTTTCAGTGACAAGTTGAGAATTTTAAGCTAGACTCTAATTACCTGTTTGGCTTACCTGCTGATTCAGACAGGAGAAAATAAATGCAGCCCATTAAAAAAGAACAGTGACAAACTGAGTTGGCAGGGCTCTATAAGATATTGTTATTTAAAACAGGCTCTCTCAATCCTTTTCAGGATTTGATGTTTATGATAGTTTTCTGAGACACATGGATGGGGAATATTTCGAACTCTTTCTTCCATCTACTATTAGGTAACCATTTGTTGGTTCCAGTTATTTTTACTGTTTTTATGACCTGTCAAAATAACATATTGATTTATTCAGTGATGCAAAATATCTGTCTTTCAGTTTTTAATCATATAGCACCTTCCATGTTGAGGCCCAGTATTTAACGTTGGGCATATTATGGTGAGCAAAACAGAAATGGGCTGTCTCGGGACTTATGATTTGTAGTGTTAGACATACATATTAATAAGAAATTATGATGGGGTGTGGTGAGTTGTGCTGACAGAAGATAGCTTAGGGTCCTATGGCGTGCAGAGTCGGCAGTCCTGTCCACTTAAGAAAGGTCAAGAGACTAATCGAAAATACAAATTTGTCATCCTGATCCCCAGAAATTTTGATTCTGTAGGTTTGGACCAAAGAAACTTTTTGTTGTTGTTCTTAGGATGATGATGATGATGATGATGATGATGATTTTAACTCCCCGTATGATTTGGCCAATTAGCCAAATTTGGAAAACTGTTTATGAATGATTCACATGGTCAGTAATCATGCTGGTGTCTCTAAATGAATTAGCCAGGGATGGAAGAGATGATTTTCAGATAATTTTTGCTCCTAGTTCAAAGGTTGGTCTTTATATTTATCCCCATTCAATTGTAAATTCTTGCCTTAGGTTATAAAAGTTAAGTGCTTGGTGGCGGCTGGGAGAGCCTGGCTTATCAGTAGTACAGAATGAAAAGGACCTGGAATGGTTGTTTAGCTATAAACACGGTGAAAGTTAGAGGTGAGCTTGCCTGCCAGGGAAACTACTGCGATCTTGGGATGCATTCCTGTAGGCTTAGTGTCAGAAGGCAGGCAGGCAGAGTCCCATGCCCCCTGTACCTGTTGGGGGGCACATCTGGGCTCACGTAGACAGTGTCTAGGATCACGTTTAAGGGGGATGTTGACCCTTGAAAGGATGCTGAGCTCTTTGGTAAATATCCACATAAAGAGGAAATGGGAGAAAGAGATTTGTTCATGCCACAAGAATAGTCTATATAGTTGCAGAAGAAAGTGCTGAGACTAAAGAGGGAAAGTGTTTTGGGAAGCAAGTCTCATTTGTTATTGACCCATTTATTCATATGACAAATATTTAGTATCTACTGTAACTCATTCAAGAAGATACCAAGGATATAATAGTAAACAAGATGGATTCAGTTCTTGACTTCATGAATTTACAGTTATTGGAAGGTCCAGAATTAAGCAAGCAATTTTAAGAATTGTGATCTGCTATGGGAAACACAGGGCGCTATTTCACCTCCATGCAAACACATTTCTAATATTGGTACTGTCAGAAAGATGATAAATTGTGAATACTCAGGCCCTGCAGGTATTCAAGGGGAGACTGTTGGGGGATATTGTAGAAGCTGTACCAACAGCTACCGTTAAAGTCCTGTTTGACTTTTCACATTGATGGTTGTATGTGTCCTTATAACACGTTCACTCCTTGCTAATTTTTACCATTTCTATCCTTCTTTTTCCCTTCTTCCATTTTCACTTCTTGCAATTATTTCAGTCTGCACAGTGAAATGAGTGTCCTTATTTTCACAGACATTTAAAAAATAATGCTTTTTAAAAATACTTTTAATAAATGTACCTATTGTGTGTCAGTATATAAGGAATAGGACAAATTACTGTGTTTTTATCTGGGCTATCAGATAACTGAGTTAGGCATAAGCGCCTACATGAATTTACTGTGATGTGATTTCTCTGTTTGGCCTTTCTTGCTCTCCTTGATGGCTAGCCCATGCAGGTGGGGACTTTCAGGGGGCATTCTAGTAGGAGCCTGTGTATCTGTGGGCATGGGTAGGCACGAAGAATGAGTAGAATGTCTAGGCTACTTTTTAATAGTTTTTATGTGCTGTAAATAAGACTATCTTTTTTTTCAAACATCATTTTGAATTTTTAACATGTCCTAACTAATTAGAAAAGCTGACCTTTCTCTCACAGAATTAAAAAAAATTAAAAATTATGTTGTGACATTCTCAGGACTTTGGGCTTTTTATGTTCAGTGTTGTAGGCTGAAATTGGGATATTGGGAAGGCTTGGGTTTGCTTTCTCTTGATCCAATGTGACTTCCTGTTTCCAAGAAGAGAGTTGTAAAGGTTCTTGAAAGGAATTTCTTGCATGCTTGGCAATTCTTATAAAACCACATTTTGGTAAATTAGTGTGAGTGAAGTAGATTAAACAAAAATCAAGGATGGGTGGGAAGGGAGTGATAAAGGGGAAAATGGGGCATTGAGATTAGCACATATAATGTGGGGTGGGGCGGGGACACAGGGAAGGCAGTGAAACACAGAGAAGATGAGTAATAATTCTATAGTCTCTTACTATGCTGATAGACAGTGACTGTAATGGGGTATGTGGGGAGGACTTGATAATAGGGGGAGTCTAGTAACCCTAATGTTGCTCATGTAATTGTACATTAATGATACCAAAAAAAAAAAAATCAAGGAAAGAACCATTTTGCTGGACCAGTTTAGCATTTCGTTTTGTGGTAATCGGATCCCATAGAAGAACCTGGTGATTTAGAAAGTGTCTGCTTCTGGTACCCAGATAAACTAGGAATGAGAAGTCTCATTTTACTTTGGTTAATCATCCTAGTTCAAGGGGACATTTGATCACCAAGTGGGGTTTACTCTGTGCTGGCGTTGATACATACGAGTGACTTGGGTTAATACATACACATATTTTTTAAGACAAAGTTGCAACTTGGATACCTCTCTTCAAATGGATTCACAAAAACAGAATAATTCACAGGCACTCTCACAGTAGCCTGGAAAAAATCACCAGTTCTTCCCATCACTTAGTGGAGAAAAATCTTTGGTAGTTAGATACTCCTCTTTGAACAGGAGATTCATGCCCCTTGGTTCCCAAGCCAGAGCTTCAGCTTCTCCCTCTTGGAATTGACCTAGAAATTGGCTTCTCATAATCAGTTTAATAGGGATTAAACATGTTTTTGTAACTACAAAGGCAGTTTATTCACTTGATGGCTATTTATTGGATGCCTCCTGTCTGTCAGGTGTCAATGGTCTTCTAGAAGCATATGATACGGTGAGCAATAGGCAGGCAGGGTCCTTGGTTTTATTTGTTTATTGAACATTTATTTAAGGGCTTATATATCAGAAGCTGTGTTAGGCTCTTTGCAGATATTAAGTCATTTAATCCTAACAATTGGTATGAGGTAGGGACTCTTATCCTTATTTTACAGATATGAAGGAGACCTAAAGTCACCTACCTAGGGAGTGACCAGGCTGGGGTTTGAGTGCAGGGTGAGTGCTCATGGCCACCCACTGGATGGTCACTCCGCAAGCCTAATCTCAGGAAGTTACACATGCTTTGTGATAAAACCCCCGAACCCTGCAAAACAAAACACACCCAGGGAAAAAAAAGGAACACAAGAACTACAAGTAATCTCAACACTGCTCATGTTTTGATGACTAAATTCCATTCTTTATATGTGTGTAGGTAGAGGATATGTGTGTGTTTAAATGTATATCTTATTAACTTGTTACTACTTAATTTTTTTCACAATATATTATAAATGTTCAATAGGCTAGTGCATTTTTAAAATACAATATTCAATAGCCCTGTAGTCTTCCATGGTTTATCTTTATCATGATTATCTTATCAGTTTCTTACCACGTAGCAACATTGTTCAGTTTCACAAACCCTGCTTTAATATCTTTATAACAGAACCTTTTTACAAATCAATGACTATTAAAAAGTTCCTTAGTGAAGACTGGCATTGAAGCTTTTTGTAAATATTTGTACAGTATCCTTGTGCACTCTGTGCTTTATGAACATGACCGTGTTAACAGTGCAAACATGCTTTTCCTTCTAGGTTAGTGGATGACAGATGTGTAGTGCACCCAGAGGCAGGAGACCTTGCCAACCCTCCAAAGAAGTTCAGAGGTAAGAAAAAAAATATGTATTTTTTTATTATGTGACCTAAGGGGGTGCGATTATTTCTGTGTCTTAAAATAAGTAACGTTAAAGTTTAATTCAGTGTGCAACCCTCATAGATAAATATGTCCACTGAAAATTCTTTGAAAAATTTCTCCCTTGTTTTTCTTCTTTTACCCATTGAAAGATTTACAATGACAGAATAGTTTTAAGTGTTGTTTGCTGGACGGTAGTCTTATCTGTTCAAAGGAAATCTTGGTACTTAACTGTAAAAAGCCACTATTCAAACCAATAAATGTAACCAAGTAATACATATTTATGTGTTTCTGTGACTATAAATGTTGGTGTTTTATTAATAGCTCTTTACTATGTCTTTGTAAAATTTCCAGGATGACAGTGATATAAGAGCTTAGCTTTTAAAATGTCACTTTGGATGGTGTGTAACAACTCACAAGTGTCTTAGAACTTCTCTAAGTATTATTTAGAGTTAGCTTGATAATATCAACTGAGAAATTGGTCACAATAGGAGGCTGATTATAATTCGATTGCTATGAAAGAAAGTTAATAGAATCTGCAAAGAATCATAGACAACTAAAACCAGTAATTAAGAGCTCTGTTAAATCAACTTCATAGTTTGCGTGTAGGTATAATAATAAAAATAATTGTAAAGCAGCATTCATTTTGAATACACTGTGCAAACATTCCTTCTCACAATGGTGAAAAGCGATTTTAGTAAGGGATAAAAGTCTGGAGAGCGAGGCAAAGGGATTCCCCAGTATTCCAGACCCAAATCAGGGTGTGCTACTCAACTGCACTGGGGAAGGGAGAGAAATGCCTGGGAAATGTTCCCTGTGGTTCACTCCCTATGATAGCCACTTTCCACACAATTCTCAGTATAGGAATATCACAGACATTTCATTTTCCTTAAACTCAGAACCTTGCAGAGAGAGTCACAAGCATAGTAAATGTCCTTTGAGTTAAAAAATTGGCCACTTTGAGTAAGAGATCCAATGTCTCCCCAAGTGGAGCAATGACATAAAGCAGGCTGTGGGAGCTACGCGGCCCATTAGAAGCAGCCATAAAACTACTCAGTGGGGGCACTCCCCTGACCCTGGGCAACTGAGGGTCTTCTCGCAATAGACAGTGCCCCCCGAGGATGCAGTCACAATAACACTACCATGAATGTCAGCAGCTGGGACAGACAAGTGCTCCAGAGCCATCTGCCAGGGACGGTGTGGTAGGTGTGCGGAGATGATTCCAGAGATAGAAGAGGGTAGAGCAGCCCTAAGGGAAGAACAGGAAATATAAAGAAAGAACAGATAGGTTCTAACGCGTTGGAACTAGCATATTGTATAAAGGTGCGGAGAGAATTAGTGCTTTGGAAGAGAGGTCCAAGGAAATCACCCAGAGTGTGGTCCACAGAAGGACAGCATGAATGAATCATGAAAAGCTTGGAGGCTGGGCTGAGAAGGTCTGGCAGTTATCTAACTGAATTCTAGAAGGTGAGGCTAGAATGACAGTGAGGCCCTGTGTGAAGACGTATGGGTGAGAACTTCCTTAAATTGAGGAAAAATACTGTTTCTCATGTGGAAGAGGCATGTCGAATTCAGAGTAGTGATGATGAAGCCAAATCCACAGACACTTCTTGGTGAATTCGAGCACATGAAAGATAAAAAGAAACATTTTCAAAGCAAACTGGAACAACAAATCTGTATTTGTAACAGGAAAAGCATGGGTTCAGGTTTTGACTGTACCTCTCGCTGGCTGTGTCCTTTTAACTAGGTCACTTCACTGCCTGGAGCCTCAGAGGATGTTTGTTATTGGCTGCTGGGACTAGGGTTGAATAGTAACAAGATCGTGGCTTACCACACAAGGCTTTGTGAAACTTGCAATCTTTCTAAGACTATATGTAAAAGCATTTCAAATCGTTATAGAAATGGTAGTCAACTTACAACAGAAAGGCATAATATATTTCCTTTAAACATATTTGACTCTACGCTTACATAACCTCTTCAAGGGCTTTAGGTTTTTACTTTTGTGTTTTCCAGGTATTTGCCCACAGTAGACATTCAAAAAATAGTCATTAGATGCTTTTGGATGTAAGACCCTAACTCACCTGGGATCATGAGATAAAACGTGGGTCCTCGTGCCCCATACTTGACTGCCATGAGATTGGGCAGTTTTCTCTTCTGTCCATCCGGGGAGGATAATTTTTCAAAGATAAACTTTCAGAGTGTGTGGCTGCCTTTTTCTTTTCCTCTTTCCCAGTGAAGTGAATTGTCTTGAAGTGGGAAGATTATTTTCGTGTATCTGAGGGAACCCTGGGGTGACACGTATAGATGTGCAGGTAGTTGGTGCCCTGTTATTTGGTGAGTCCTGGTCAAGGTGTGGATCACTCAGGTGCTCCGTTCTGCCCTGGAAGGCTGGCTTTTCCCATAATCTAATGCTGTAGGTCATTGTACTAGTTTGCTCTCATTTTCTACCTCTACTTTAAGACTGATCCATTTATCATTGGAGAAGGAGGGTCCTTCCCTTTTGGGGATACAGGGCTCCCCTTTAAAGCTCTGACTCTTCTCCTGTGATTCTTGGAACCCCTACCTGATAGAGCCCCAGAGGAGAATTCCCTGAGATGGGCTTGTCTCTGCCCTGGTCTGCACACTGCTCCATAGCCCCAAGCAGACCTTGTTGTCCCAAATACCTCATCCTTTCTCAGCTCCTGCAGGCACCATTCTCTGCCTGAGTGTTATTTCCCCTATTCTTTGGCTTTGAAAATCATCTCACAGATTTGCCTCCCAGAATCGCTACCCTTGCATTTCCAGACTCCTCTGCCAAGTTTCCAGAGCCCCTCCCTTACTGTTACATTTCAGATAACATGGAGAAACAATGGCTTATCCACAGCTGAGCAACACCTCTGTGCCTCTTGCTTCAGCCAGACAAATGATATTCTCAGATTAATTTGAAAAGATTTCTGGTTTTCCTACTCTAGGATTTATTCAAGTGAATTATAAAACTTTAGAGCTTTCTGGCAATTAAAAGTAAATGCCGAACAACGCCCCCAATTGTTTGAAAGAGGAGCCGAAGTCCTGGGAAGGTCAGAATGATTCCTCCTGACACACACAATTGTACAATGAAATGTTCTCTCGGCTGTGTCACGTCGCCTTACATATGAACAGAGGAAACGAAGTTTTAACAAATAGCTTCCCAGGGATTATTTAACACCTGGTGGACAGCTATTTTTCAGTGGAAACCACACAGTCAGAACAGTATTAACTGAAGCACAGTTGCTTTCCCTTGTGAGTGTAAAATTCCCTTAATGACCAAATATCATCTATTTTTTTTAAAGATAAACTTTCAATATTGGAATGAATTCAGATGTACAGAGGAGTTGGAAAGGCAGTATGGACAGTTCCCCTCACCCAGCTTCCCCGTAGGTTAGCAGCGGATACACCACGGTGCATTTGTTAGGCAGATGGAATTGCCATTTATTAGTATATTAGTATTGACTAAATTCCAGACTCTCTTCAGATTCTACCAGTTTTTTCACTGTTGTCTTTTCCCTTTCCTGATCCCACCCAGGATCCCTGTGGCACTTAGTTGTCATCACTACTTTGTCTTCTCTGGTTCTGTGACGCTTTCTCAGTCTTCTTTGTTTTCCACCTTGAGACTTTCTAAGAGCGCCAGCCAGGTATTTCATGGAATATCCCTCGATTTGCGTCTGCTGATGCTTTTCTCAGGAGTAGCTGGGTTAAGGTTTTGAGAAGCATATCACCGAGATTAACCGCCCTTCAGCTTGTATCGTATCGGTGGCACGTAATAGCACCGTGATTTAGTGCTCACTCTAGTTTTTGATATACAGTCAACACTCCGCCCTCACACTAAGTTATAGCAGTTGTTTCTGTTGACCTTAAATTCTTTTTGTTTTTCTTTCTTCTTATTTAGTTCCTTTATGCCTACTCCCTGCTCCGCCCCGCATCCTCCCACCTCCCCATTCTCAATAAAGCTCCTCTCTGGTGAGGATTTTTCCAAAACTCTCTGCCTATTAATACATGTGCATTTTTTTTTTTGGTATAAATCGAAGCAAGAGAGGTTTGTGTTTATGTCCTTCTTTTACCATCAGGGTGATGACACAAAGAAGTAATGATGAATCCTGAAAGCCACACCTCAAGGGGCTGAGGGAAGAGAAGATGGGCCCTGTTTTGGTTGATTAGATATTCCTCAGGGTTGGACCATTTGGTCTTGAAATTTCCAACTTGGAGATTCTGTGGCCATTTGATATGTGACTATTTCCTAATATACCATGCTTACCAAGTGGCCATGGCTGGCAGGTAAGAAGTCATTCTGAAGCGGTACGTCTGAGTGCTTCAGGAATTGGAGCTATGATAGAGAATTTCTCCACTGTGCAGTGCAGCACTCAAGCAGGTGTGAAAATCAGGGTCTGGGGGAACAATGACAAGATCATTTCTTTAACTCAGTTCCTTTTCATATAATTCAGGGAAGTCATTTTGAAGGCTGGGACCATCACCATCTGCCTATCCTCATGGCAGTTACACACTCAAGCACATAAGTGAAAAGGCCATCTTGCTGGGTAGCAGCTTTGACTTCCTGTGTAGTTGAACATGTCTATCTTGTCTAACACAGTGATTCTCCAGCAGGAGCTGATGATAAATACCTCTTCTGCCAGCTGAACAATTGCTGTATTGAGTTTAGATTTGGTGTTGGTGTCATTTTTTTGGATGAAGACTGAAATTATTTCAGATTTGAAATAACTAACATTTATGGAGCATTTAATACATGCTGCATTGTGCTTGGGGCTTCCTGTGCATTATTATTTAGTTATTACTCTGACCCTATAAAGGGGAAGTTACTGCTCTCTCAGTTTTGCAGTTGAGAGAGTTAAGTATGAAGAAGTATGCCGCCGTCTTACTGTTTGCCTGGCTCATTAGTGGTGGAGCTGGGACTCCAGTGAAGTGTGTCTGACTCTAGAGCTGTTTGTTCTTAACTGCTATCCC